CACTAGATCCCCCCTCAGCCTTCTCTTTTGGATGCTGAACAGCTGCTAAAGATCTTGAGGCTCATCTAGAAGGTTGGCATATGGCCGGGGTGTAGGGAAGGTTGGAGCCCCAAAAACATCTGCCGGGACGCGTGTCCACTCTGGCGGCACCTTCAAAAGGGACCCCCTTCACTGAGAGACCATCCAAAGTCATGGCAGGTGAGTTTGGGGGATTCTCCAAAGGTAATCGAGGTACCCTCTGGGGTCTATGCAAGGTTCCCTGGTGAACAAGGTCAGCTGCTCGGGCAAAAGCAGCTTGGGACCAATCTTTCGAGTCGAGACGTGCACACTCATATAACAACAATGAAGAATGTGCTGCATTCAAAAACCTAAGTCTATCCCTACCATGCAGTTGCTCCAATAAAAGATATCACCTACTGCAATGGGACCACTCCCTGTGAAGGGTGTATCATCTTCCCATTGGAGGAATACTTCTCACTTGCCCACCACATCATTGCATAATGCTGCCTTCAGTCATTGGAAGCTTTTTTCATGCTTTGAATACACCTCAATGCTCCATTATTTCTTCCTTTGAGGGCATCCGTTAATGGGGCCATGAGCTCCATGAAGTGTGGTATAAATCATCTGTAGTAATTTACCAACCCTAAGAAGGAGGACATCTGCTGTCAACTATGAGGGGGTTTGAAGTTACAAATGGCTTCCACCTTGTCAGCTAGGGGATTGTTAAGGTCCTGGCCCACTAAAACCCCCAGATATTTGGTCTCCTTACAGGCTCTGACACATTTCTTTGGGTTACCAATCATCTCTGCATTCTTTAATTCCTTTAGAAATGCAGTCATAGCCCTCACATGTTGTGGCCAGGTCTTGGTAAAAATAATAATATCGTCTATATATGCAGCAATGTATGCCCCACGTTGAGCTAACAGAGTGTCCATTAACCTTTGAAAGGTAGCTGCCACTCCAGCTTCCTCTTCCCCCCCCAGGAACCTGTCTTAACCCAATAAAGAAGCCTGCCTCTTACCTCATAACGACAATCAGCCCCTTCCTTATCGCCATTCTCTTGGGTGTTGAAGGTTTTTGTAAATCTGGATCTTCCCATTGGGCCTGTCAAAACTGAGCCCCACTTGCAATTTGTTTGACAACAAAATCCTTTACCAATTCTCCTGGAAGTGCAGCCTCTTCTCCACACCAGGCCTCTCCCATCCTCAGGCATCAACATTCTGTTTCAGCTGCCTGGACCCATTCCAGAACATCATAAATAGGGAACCATACTCTTCCTATCACCATCTCACAGGCCAATTTGGAGGCCAGGCCTACCTTGAATTACTTTTCATACTCCATAACCCTTATCAGTAGGTGGTCTTTTCCCCATGAACGTAAGTCATGGTCAGGGCCTTCCATGTTCCTTGGCATGGTGCTAACTCCTCACATATCAAGGTTTGTGCATAGCTGGTGTCCAGGGTAGCCTGTACGAGTTGACCCCCTACCCAGGCCATCACCACTGGTCTCTCCCAGACATCTTCTTCATTGCCAGTGCCAAAACTACAATCCTTTGCTTCAATGGTCTCTTCCTCCCTAAGTCGATCTCTGAAGGCACATGCCAAACTGGGGATTTTGGTTTGCTCCGTTCCAGTCGCTCGGCAGTCCTTCAATTTGTGACTCATTTTACCACACTTGAAACAGACAGCCCCATAAGGTGGCGCTCTTTGCAAGTCCCAGCTTTTTCCTCCTTCTTGCCCCATACCTGGGTTTTTATTATGGGGTGGTGCACCCATGCTGCTCCCCAGAAACCAAAAATGCCCTGGAATCTTCAGGGCATCCTCACAGTTCTGGGGTCAGTGTCACTTCACCCACAGCTGGGTATCTTCCTCTAGATCCCATAGGAACTTTTCTAGAAGTATCTGGTCCATCACTCCTTCCTGATCAAACCAGTTCAGTGGCAACCACTTATTTACTAGGCCCTCAACAGTTGCATCAAAATGTGAGGTCACCGGTCCTCTCGTCCCTTGTGGTTGAAAGCACTGCCTTTAATGGTCTGGTGTTATCTTTAGGGGATAAAGGATAACTGCATTCAACTTGTCGTAATCCCTGGCCTCATATCTAGACATGGCCCTATAGGCTTCCTGAGCCTTGCCTATGACCAGGGACCCCAACTGGTGAGCCCACTGCAAATGGTCTAACCCTGTCTGTACACCCATTTGTTTGAATGCCTCAATAAATGGCTTGGGGTCATTGTCCTTTTTAATCCAGAATATCTTGAAAATAGGCATACTTCTCTGCAGCCACTCTAGATGCTATGCTGTTGGTGCATCTAGAGAACCTGACCAATGGTCTGCACAGTCTGTCTTAGCATCTCAGGGTAAGCCATCATTGCGGGTTGCATCTTAGTTACACGTCAAAACCTGAGTCTGCTAACCACCACATGGGTTTGAGTTCCAAGCCAATACACTACTGTGATGGGACCGCTCCTCATGACAGATGTATCTTCCCACTGGAGGAACACTTTGCAATTGACCGCCATGCCTTATTTGTTATAATAAAGATATGGAGGAGTCAGTGATGTCCCACAGGTTACTCACGGTGTGATGTCCCAGTGATCTAGGGCTCCGCCTCCCGCACATTCCATCCACTCACCAGCCATGTTGCTTCTAGGTATGCATGGGTCTTTTTGGTTAGTGAGGTTAGGGACCAACTGTTCAACATCTCCAACATGTCATCATCCCTCCAACGTTGGGCACACAAAATCAAAATTAATCAAAACAGGTAATGTCCATACCTAAGAAGTGTCCCTATGAACTAAATGGGTTGCCCTTTGCTTCAGGCACAGCCTCTTAAGAAAATCTGATATCTCTCAGGCTTAGGAGACCACCTGCCCTTTCTTCATGGCAGGCAGACCTGGCAAGTTGTATTCACCCGCCTTTCAGTCCACGCTTCTCTATAGCCCTTTGCCTTCCCCAGCTCCACTAGGGCCTCTCTGCCACTTCTTCACCCTGACTCTTCCTCCCAGGGCTCTTCCCAGAGAGAACGCATGGGCCTACCACCCCTTGCTCCCCTCCATGCGGGGTCTGACTCCTCTTTAAAGTTCCCAGCTCATCAGTAATGTCTGACATCATCCACTGGGCACTCGCTCAGCCAGATGACACAGGAGCTTATAAAATGCTGCAGCAGTGTAGTACGATGCTCCACATTAGTCTGCTGCATCCCTGCAGGTAAGTCTATTTCAAGCCTGGCCTCACCCAGGCTCCACTGTGCTGGAGCTCAACCCCTGGCCTCAAAATTCGCCGCACAGTGGCACTGCGTGGATCTATCAGGGCCACTCTGTTACACCTATAAAAATGCTTGCCTCCTACATTGTAACTATAAAGTTATGATTAATGAAATTTGATTATTGATTATTCCCACCTCCTGGTCTCCTCCAACTAGAAGAAAGAGGGAGGAGAATTTATTTGAAATGTATTTGGAACAAAAAAGCCTGCTACTAGTCAAATTCAAGACAAATTTTATGCACAGTTAATATCTTGTTCCTTCAAGTATGATATCAGCCAATTGAATGGAGTAAAATATGAACTAATAGGTCTATAATACGCTCTTGCATAAGAGCATATTGTCTGATGTTTAGGTCTTAGATCCACCATTTTTACCTACACTAAGCAGATAATTTCACTGTGCACTACCTAGACTATTCTCATAATTCTTTATGCTCCCACTACATACCAGATTCTCTAAAGCAGCTAAACTGCTCGATGTTGGAGTCTGCAGAGGATGAAGACAACTTTCAGCCATCTTCATAGCTTCCTGACCACAGAGCTGATATTCTTCCCTACATGAGACTAGAACCCGAAGACTATTATGTCTTAAACCTGTTGCCAGAGGCAATTCCAAGAATCAGGAATGCACATCTTTTACCTGCAGATGCACTTTCTGGCCAATTCTCTAGGGACTTCATCACACCAGAGTTTTTCCCTACACAAAGGAATTCCTCAGAAGGCCAGATTTACCACTGCCTAGTGTAGCCAAGAGGAACAAATCCTACACTTCTTATGTGAGTCCATCCGACTGTACAAAGCCAATACTACTGAGACATTTTAGAACTATCAAATCTCCATTTAAAAAAAATAAGTATAGTCCATTCAGAGAATCTGATAAAGTAAATGGTTACTTATTGCTTATGCCTCTCTGAACCAGTCACTCTCTCAAGTCTCATCATGCCCTACCTTCTTCCTAAATATAATTATTAAGTCTAGAATGCTATTTAAAAAGTTTACTTTTCCCAAATCTTGTCTTCAGCCTCTTTTCAGAGACCAATGATACTTGTTGCCAAGGGCAGATCCAGGGGAGGTATAGTAGTGCAGCTGTACCCCTTTTGATTCCTGCTCCATTCAAATTTTAAACCCAACTGCCTGGGAGGGGCAGCAGTATTTCTGTTCAGGCAGTAGTGAGGGAGTCAACTTACTTCAGAGCTCATTATAATATACCCGATTCCTATTAATCTGTCTTTACTCCACAGGTTTTAACAACCCTCTCTCCATCTTAATAGTCTTGATTTGATACTCTACTATTCAAACTATCCTTTCTTCTTTGTTGTTGTTGCTGCTTAGCCATTCCTGGTAATCTCTCTCTCCTATTTCACAGCACCACAGTCCATTTTTAGCCATAGCTAAAAACCTTAACTCAACTATAGTAATATTAACTCATGTGTAGAAATGACAGAGTGAATATTGGAGGCACTGAGAAAGTGCTTCAGAAGACTATGCTTTGTTTTACAAATCTGAATAAGAGATGTACATGTAACTGTAATGACTACAAGATCTATACAAGCACATCTTTTCTGACTATTTTGACAGTCTTTTGGCTACTTTGTTGGCTTCTTTAAATTATATATTATCCAGCAATTAGTGCACATTCCAGTAGAGTTATATTTGGCTTTGCTTTGACCTTAAACTGAAAAATATAGTGCCAGGCCTCTAGCATATTAGTACATACCACTGACTTACCTTTAACTGGAGGAAAAATAGGTGTTATGTTATATGTGATGATACACCACACCATCTGCACCAACTTTTCCAAAATCCTAGTTTACCTATGGGAGTTGCATAGGTGCTGACTGGAGTGCTGCAGAATCAAAACAAAAGAGATTAAACTACCTTTAAAGTAAGAGCAAATAAAAACATTGAGGGAAAAGGTACATGGAAATTTCTATAGCAAATGTAAAAGGTTTCTACTTCAGAAAACTATTACTGGGCATTAGCATTTACCAGGCATCTGAAATTTCAGCCAATTTCTAACAAAGAGAAAAAGTCAAGAAAAGACTTCACCTATTAGAGATGCAACTCTCCAAGAAAAAAAAAAAAGGAGTATTTTATCTCTACCATATGCACAATTCTTAGAATCCATCAATAGGAAGTGGGCCAATGATTAGTGATGAATAAAGTGTGCAACATATATCAAGTACATTTGCTAGGCTTCATGGTTGATTATAAAATAGAAAAATGTTAAAGCAACTGCTTTTAAAAAGTTGCAGTTGAAGCGCCCTGAAATCTGAGAACAGTTCATATTAAACAGTGAAGAAAAAGAAAGCAGGTGAAGTAATGAATAGGTACCATTGTTGGTTTGGCAGACAGATCAGAAGCCTGGTGTCAGTTGTTTAGATTGTTCAGTAAAGTGGGTTTCCATATTATTTAAACACAGAGAAAGAAAATGTCCTTCCTTTCTTTTTGCATTAGCTCTAGGTTTCCTATGATGAAAAGGAAGGCCATTTCTTAGATGTGCTGCCTCGCTGCGCCGGCTTATGCCATACTACAACTCAAGTTTAAGGTATTTGAATTTATCTGAAGGAAACATTTCCTCAGCAGACTTTACAGCTTAACAGGTAGAACCAATTTCCATTACAACACTTAAAGAATAAGCATAAAACTCCCAAACTATCTTAGAAAAAATATCTGCAAAATAAATTGGTCTTTTGATGTAGTCTTCTTTTTTTCTGGTTTTATTTTTTAAACAAACAGGACTGTCCAACCTCACTATTTACCCACTGAGTTTTACAATATCTCAGAATCATCAGTGGTTTATAGATAATTCTGGGAACAGATGGTATATTTCAGCACAGCATTTTTCTCTCAGCACTTTAATTAAAGAGCTTTGGATATCATGAAAAAATGTGTCTGAAGGGACCTGTTCTCAACAGCAGCAGTAGAATTTGGCTAAGCTTTGTAACAATGAATTTCTATGACAAATAATTTTATTTCCTTTTTCTCTTTAATTATTTCTACTTAATTAGTGCTCATAAAAGGGGGTCAGGATTGACAGCCCTAGAAATTTTGTCTTTACAGAGTAGGCACATAACAAGTAGTGGCATTCCAACCCTGACCTGTGAGTTTCAGCTATATGAGTAAGAGGGTAGTCTACTTTCTATGCCCTTCTTGACTTTAGTCTTTCCTCTGAATTGCAAAGCAGCAAAATGAGGAGTAGGTTCAATTTCTTCTGTTCAGTCAGGCCCATATGTACTACTTATATTTCATAGATTTCATAGACATTTGGGCTGGAAGGGACCCCGGAGGATCTTCAAGTCCAGCCCCCTGCCCAGGGGCAGGAATTCATAGGGATCATAGGATCCCAGCAAGATAAACATCCAAAAGTGCCTTGAAGGCATTCTAAGTGGGTGCTTGAACCACCTTGAGTGGCAATCTATTCCAAACCTTGGGGGCTTAGACAGTAAAGAAGTTCTTCCTTATGTCCAGCCTGAAACTGTCACAGAGGAGTTTGTGACCATTCAATCTTATCATCCCTTGGGGTGCTCTGGTGAACAGACATTCCCCCAGATCCTGGTGAACACCCCTGATAAACTTATAGGTGGCCACCAGATCACCCCTGACCCTGTGCTTTTCTAGGCTGAAGAGTCCCATGGCTCTCAGCCTCTCATCATAAGGTCTGTTTTCCTGGCCTCTGATCAAGCTTCCCCACACCCTTTTTGAATTGCGGAGCGCAAAACTGGACGCAGTACTCCAGCTGTGGCCTCACCAAGGCCAAGTACAATGGGAGAATGATGTTCTGGGATTTGCTTGAGAAGCATCTATGGATGCAAGCCAGTGTTTTGCTCGCTTTACTAGCCACAGGATCACATTGAAGGCTCATGTTCATCTTGTGGTCAATCATGACCCCCAAGTCCCTTGCATATGTAGTGCTAGCCAGCGTAGCACTGCCTAGCCTATAAGCATGGTGCAGGTTTTTCCTCCCAAGGTGGAGAACCATGCATTTTTTGGTGTTAAACACCATCATGTTCTCATCCACCCATTTCATGAGCCTGTCAAGATCTGCCTGGATCACCCTCCTGTCCTCAAATATGGATGCTTTACCCCAGAGTTTGGTGTTATCAGCAAACTTGGCCAGCCTGCTTCTGACACCAATGTCTACATCATTGATGAATGTCATGTCTGAATTCAACCTGTCAGTTGGAGTGCCGATGCCAGCAAAGCAAAAGACTGTAATAACTTAGTAAGGACGCCAGCCATACAAACCCCCCAGCACTAGTAGCTTTTATTTCTTTGCTGAGAGATATATGGCAGTTGGAGATTGTTAAAAGTTCTGTTCTCCATGTTTTAGAGGCTTGTTGACTGCAATGATAAAGATTGTAAGTGCACATCACATGTCTGACCCTTTGAACCTGCTGAGGGCAGTAAAAAGTAGGTCAGATAAATAATGTATTTAGGTCAGATGAATAATGTATCTAGGTCACTAGTGTGATGAATAAT